GCAGAAGCGCTGGGAGGAACCCAAGTCAGCAGCCGAGGCAGAATCCTGACAGACGGGCGTCGGATGCTTGACAACGTAAGAAGCGGCAACAGTAACCTGCAAGGAAGTAACCATGGGCTTGTGGACAGGAAGGCCGGACGGCAGGTAGCTGACATCACACAGGGCGAGAGCCAGAAGCGGGCTGAGAAAGAGCGCATCCGACACAGACGAGAGAATGAGTCGCCCTGACCCCTAAACCACAAAACCCACGTTCTCGATCCGGCTTACCTCCCATGTCCGCATGCTGAACCATCATGATACCCGCAAACCCTAACGCCTAAACCCGATACAAAACTCTAAACGCTAAACGCTTCTCTTGAAACAGATTTTTTTCTATGCTGGCTCGGACGGTGAACGGTCGATACAAACCGACACAGACGAAAGAAAATGACTCCCGCTAAACCCCCTAAACCCTAAAGTCCACACCCCGCCAAATCTCTGATTCTCTTTGCGCCACGACTCGACTTGAACCCTTGAGCCCCCGAACTCGTAGACAGGGCTGTTAAACGGCAGGCCTTGAAGGCACATTACAAAATGTCGTTTTTTCGCTCCTCTTCGCGAAGATGCGACACCACTGGGGGGACTTCTTTTCAAGACTGGCCTAGAAGACACCATGAACCATGGATTCCAGAGCAATCAGCCCATAACGTGCCTTCGCATCATCAGTCTCATCTCAGCCCTGCCCTAAAAAATCAAACCCTTTGAAGCAATGCCTTCCGCAGTTTCGATGCCGACCTCCTCGTAGTCCTGCGCTTTATCTCTTGCAACTCAACCGATGTGAAATTTAAAAGATCTTGTGAGAATTTGTGGTTCTACACGGGCTCTATATGAATGCATGCGCTGTCACGGTTTAGGCTGAGTTTTTTGAGGAAATACCAGCTTAAGGACGTTCGAATCCCAAAACATCAAACCCAGACTTCAGACACCAACATAGACATCCACAGTGACCACTACGAGTACCACCACTAACAAGATCCGCTCAAAACTATCAAGCAAAGCGTAGCTATAGCTCCATCGAACAGCGAACTCACCAACTTCAGATGAACGAAATGGAAGACGAAGATGTCAAGCAGACACAATGATGGAGACATGCCGAGAATGCCCATGCGGAAGCTTGCTTCCTCACTCTGAGCCATCCCCGGCAGAAAACGGACTTAACGCTAAGCATCATGCGACGCGCAGCCTTAATCTAATACCCGAAGCCCGAAAAAAGCCTCAACATCCATGAACCGTGAAGTTTTGCGAGCTCCGGAGCACTGCGAACCCTGATTGCATCCGTAGAAGTCACTGAGTAGCCTTATGATCTTACAAGGCCCCATGCCTGAAACCCGATTAGAAGCCCGACATCTCTATACAAGATCCCACAACGCCTATTGAAATTCATGGAAGCCCGATTATCGAACCTATACGACCCTCTAAATCCAGCAAAAACTGTCGAAAGACCCTTCCAAAATCCTGATAACCACCGAAAAAAATACATGAAACAGTTCTCTTACACCTAAACTCTTAGTCTAAAGACGTGTTGGTAAATAAGAAAAGCCTCCCAAACCCCAACAAAGAGGAAGGCTCCTTTTCCAGGGCCGCCAGGTCTTCGCGGGCCTCCGAGAACTCGCCTTCCTCCATGCCCTCTCCTGGGTTTCTCGGAAGGGTCGCTGTAGGGTTTCTAGGGCCCTTAAGGGCTCTCAGAGTGGGTTTCTAGAGCGTGTAGGCGTTTAGGGCCTTTAAGGCTCTCAAAAGGATCACCGTCAGACTTCTAGCGTTAATTTAACCTTCTGAAGGGCTGAGGTCGTTCAGGGCTTAGGGCCGTTTCGGTGCTTTTTTGGTGGCTTTCAGGTTCAGGGTTCAGGGACGTTCAGGATTTCGGGCTACCGCTAGGGGCTCTGAGAGTTCCAACTCTAACATCGTTGCTTCAACTGGGCTGTGTGGGGCTTTTGGGGCTCTGAGGGTTTAGGGCTCCAGAAAAATCTGTTAAGCTTGTTGGGGCTTCCAGGTCTTAGGGCTCTACGATCTTGCCAAGATCTTAAACCTTTTGTGGGCTTAGAACCTACTCATAGGGTCTTATGCAGGATCGAGAGGGTAACATCAACACACAGAGTGTGTAAAAAGGTTCCGAAAGGGGCTTTAGGGTTTTGGGTTTCAGGCTTCAAAAGGCTTATTCCGTGCTTTGGGGTTTACATTTCAGCTTGTGTAGGGTTCTACGGAACACATTGAAGAAGGAGGTAAAGGTTGTGTCTGGTTTTGATTCTTTGAGCTGAAGGGTTGCATTTGGGATCGGTTTGGGTGGAGACCTCCAGGGCTTCGGGTTTAGGGTAGGGCGGAGGGTTCAAAAGGGTCTTCTGACCCAGCAGGAAATCTTCAAGTGGGTTGTAAAAGCTTCTGATTCCGATTTCATGTAGAATGCTTTTGGCGGGGGCTGTGGAGCTGCTTTTGTCCTAGTGTCGGAGCCTAGCAGTAACACTTTGAATAAGGTTTTCGAGTATGTTCTACTACAGGGAACTATACAGGGGAGCTCGTTGCTAATTATAGCAGAGCCTCAGAGACTGGGGCTTCAGTTGAATCACGGGAACATGCAAAGGGATCAGATGAAGTTTTGTTCAACTGCTGCTAGATTGCTTCTCGCTCCCGATTTATTGGAGATCCAAAACAGGGGCTTTAATAAATAGAATAGAACAGAGTTTTGGGAAATCTGTATTGTATGCGGGTAAAGGATGACAACTGGAATGTACTACTAGTTGTTCAAGTGAAAGACGACTTCTGAAAGCAGCCCAGGTCTCCGACGTAGTGGTGGACGAAGGCGCGCTTGGAGTACATCAAGTCGAACTTGTGGTCGATGCGGGAGAAGACTTCGGCAATGGCGGTGCTGTTGGAGATCCTAGGTGCAGTTGCTGATTTAACGGTTGCCGAGAAGTGCTTTGCACAGTCTAGGGTGTTGGGAAATTTCCGTGAAAGCTAGCTGCCCGATGAAGCTCAGGCAAGGAACATGCAGCAGGCACGCATCACCTTCGCCAGATCACCACCGGGCACCACGGTAGGCGGCTGGTAGTTGATGCCGCATTTGAAGCCGGTCGGGCACCAGTCGACAAACTGAATGGTACGCTTGGTCTTGATGGTCGCCACGGCGGCATTCACATCCTTCGGCACCACATCTCCGCCTCACTTCTGAAAATCCGCGAAAACACTGATCTAAGGCCCTGAGGCATGTGTCTGGAGTGTGGCCGCGGTTATCGCAGTCTGCTGAGAGCCCCACGGTACATCATACAGCAGGCCATGTATTTGCCGTGGCCTTAGCAGCATTCTGCTGCCTTGCAAAAGGTAAAGTGTGATTGGTAGTGTTATTCAGTGCAAGCAACACAAAAATCTGAAATGTCCAAAAGCTGCGCAGCTGTCCACCGTTCGGTCAAGCGGCGTGGATCGCACTTGACCATCATGGAGGCCGGCTC